CCTTTGCCAACTGTCTATGCTGGAACCATCCACATTAAGTTTAACATAACCCTCAGAGGGAAAATTCCAGCGAATAAGACGTTCCTCTCTTCTAAGCTCCTGATGACCAATCTTAATAAGGGTTTCATTAGCCAATTGAATATTACCATAAGTGTAGGTAATGTGCCTAATGAGACCATACTTCGAGGTGCTAGTTTGATCAAAGATCGCCTTATTTCTTTCCCCCCACAAACACCAAGCTATCACCCCAAAATACAAAGGCCAAGTTCGATCAGTTTGAAACGGACCTTTTAATCCTAGATTTGTCTGAATCCATAGGTGAAGATCCATGGAGAAAAAGTCACTACGGTTATTAAAAGGAACCCAATGCTCCCATAATTCCCTGGCACCAGGACAATCTCTAATGGCATGTAAACTATCCTCAAGATTATAATGACATCTCAGACACGCTGCATCTGTAGCCATGTGACGATGCACTCTACGAACATTAGTTAAAAGAGAACCTCTGTAGAGAAGCCATAAGAATTGTCTAATACGTTCAGGACCAGGCCAAGCCCAAATTACCTTCCAAATCCTATCCTGATGATAATGCGAGGTACCCATGAGATAGTTATAAGCTGATTTCACTGAAAAAATCCCATCTTGGCTACCTGCCCAAATAACACGGTCCGGAGAAGGATCCACTGTAGGAGGGAGCACACTACGAATCTTGTCTAATACTGAAGTAGGAAGAAGGTGCTGGAATAAAGGCCAGTCCCAATTACCATAACAAGTTACAAATTGAGACGTAGACCAATGAGTCATAATAGGAGGAATAGGTTGAACGGCCAGAGAAACAAGTTGAGGACATCCTGACACCCACGAATCCATCCAAAAAGACGTATGAACCTCATCCCCTAAAATGATACGAGAATTCTCTAGAGTTTGAGGCCAATACTTAACAATAGCCATGCCAATCCCCTAAAATAATTATTTTTATCCTATATAGTATTATACAGTGCATTACCAAATACTACAAGATATTATCTTATACAATATATTTTTTTATACAATGCCATGCCAAACGCTGGATAGTATCAGGCCTTATCCTATACTATGCACCAAACATGCCCATGTGAATTTCACTTAATCCATTACTAACTAATATGAGACTACATCGCATTTGAATATCCAACATTAATCTTATACATTTATTATCAAAATGTTGTGCATACCTGCGTCTAAATTAAGATTTTTTTTCCCCATAGGACGAGTAGCTTTTAAAGGACATACAAAAACAAAACAAGTTAATCTCAGCTAATTTAATGTTAAACCATGGCCATGGGTACAACACTAGCCGATTGTAAAGTTCATCCCAACGAATTTTGGAAGAAAAAATAGAGCACGAGGAGAATAATAATAATAAAAATAAACAAAATTAAACATCCCACGGTAGAATTCAAAAGTGACATCTGAGATCCTGCTTGCGAATAAGTGTGAAACCCACTTAATTTTTTTAACCTTTTTTAAAGTAACGAAAAGAAAGCTACAAGAAGTGTAAACAATCATTTCAATCAAAAAAACTTAAGATGTTGAATGCACATACTCACCTATTTGTGTTAAGAAATTTCACAAAATTTAATTATTTATGGAGTGGTGAGAATTGAACTCATAACATAAAGCTTTGATACTATATAAACAATCATTTTAACCCAAAAGCTTAAATTATTAAGTAATGCTATATTAATGATTTTATATATCTCTAACAAAAGCTACGAAGGTACATTATCTAAATCCCTTCAAATGGTATATGCTTGATTCCGTTTAAATAAAATCTTAAATTCAAATTTTTGTAAATGCAAACAATTTTATTTGGAAGAGTTAGCTCCATCATGATTCATGATGTGAATGTTTACGGCTCAAATAGAATTGCCTCTCACGCATATTACAAGTTACGGAAAGACATGTTTTCTCAAACAAATCTTGTGACTCTGGTGGCGTTTGATAGAGGAGAAATTTTTTTTAATCGAGAATCTCGATTTTCAGAAATATGATGAAAATATTCAGTTTACGATAATATCCGAAAATTAAAAATTTAAAAAAATTCAATTTCACGAGAATCTCACTAAATGACACGTACCCAACGCCCTTAAGCAAGTTATATTTGAACAACAATCAAAGCACAATATCATTTAATTTGAAATTCAGCCAAAACAGAGGACCGTGAGCTTTTTAAAAAAAAAAAAAAACTGAACAGCCCAAAGTTATAAAAGTATACCCCCCACCCCCAAAAAAATAAAAAAAATGTGATGCGCGCAAATGTCCTAAGGGCAAGCAGCAAGCTTATGATACAAAAAAATCGATTGATTAAACTTTAATCAAAACTCCCTTAAGATGTTGACTCTTCTTGACCAGCTCTTGTAGAAGAGTCATTGCTTTTCTTTTGTAATCAATACTAAGAAATAAATACTGTCAAAATGTTTACATCTCCCTTCATTTGTACCTTGGTAATTTTTGTCATTGAGTAACGAGTACCAATCCACATGCATAGGAGGACAGCGAAGGATGCTGACAATGCGTATCGTATCGCTGTGAATCGTATCATATTTATCATAATACGTATCATATTAAAAATTATAAATTTGAATTTAATTTTCGTTTTATATTATACATAATACATGTTGTATCGTACGATATAATTGTTGAAAAATCTAAGTGTGAATGATTGAGTGAAAGAATCTCACATTGATTAAGAATAGACTGAGTGAACACCATATAAGTGGAAAGACCCATACACCTAATGCCTTAAGATTTTGAATTTGATTGTGGTGTTCCGAGCTCACTTAATATTGCTGCTCACTTGGCCCATGATTGACAATCTCTCCTCGCCATGAGCTCCCCAACAATAATATCATATACGATTTGGATAACTATGGATGGGGGTACTATTAAAATATGAGTTTTATAAGAGTTATATTGTAAGAAAAATAATTATATTATGTTATAGAGATTTGTTTTGCGTGCCGTAGTTTTTTTGTTTTTTGTTTTCAAAATATGCGGGTCTCACAAAATGTTGTGTGTATAAGAAATTTTTTGTAGTCATGTTAAATGATGAATGTAAACCCCTTAAAATATATGTAGTTTTTTTTTTTGACTTTTAATTTAAATGAAAAATAAAAAAAAACATATTTTATTAAATATTCTACAATATAATGTAAAAAAAAAAAACTGAATACAGTCAAATAGACCCAAAGTTGCAAATCCTAGGTGTAATTTATTTTTGTGATATTTGGGACTATTAATTTGAATCTAATTTAAAGTTGAAAAAAGATTACAAAGGTAAAAACATTAAAGTAATAAATAACATAACCCACCCATCTCCATATATATTAATTTATGACCCATTTTTTATCACTAATTTATTATTAAATGCAATTTAGATTGAACCTCTCGAGTCTCAACATATTCCCATTAATCTAACGATAATATGAAAATTAATAAAATGTAATAATTATAAATTGCTGATAAATATGGGATATAATATTGTAACAACCAAGTAGTGTTACTACCAATCAATTTTATCGTTAGATCGATTATGTTGATCCAACGGTTATATTTATTTTCATCTTTGTATGATTATGATTCCCAATATTTAATATTTTATATTTATTTTCATCTTTATATGATTATGATTTCTTATATTTAATACTTTCACTTTAAAATTTCCCGATGAATATCTATGTAATGATTAATTTATCGGTGCCTTAAGTATTCACAAACTCGTATATTAATTATAAAAAAAAAAAACACATTAAGCTTGGGAAAAGTGAAATTGAAATAAAAAATCCTAAGTAAGTTGAATTCGCAGTATCAGAGAGGGCTTGCTTTGCCATCTTCATCGTTCGCTGCAACAGCCGTTCTCAACTCAGTCATTGTGTATTGCTGGAGAAGGAGGAGGAGCCAATACCTAAGCCACTGCTGCGTCGCAATAACCTTCAAGGTTAATTATATGATTTTTTTTATACAGATTTTTTATTTTTATTTTTTGCCAAGTTGTTTCTTTCCATTGTGGAGAACAATAAGAGATTGTATAATATTAAAATTATGGGATTTATATATGTAATGTTACATGATAACATTCCAATTTCCTGCAAACACAATGTCTGTGGGGTCCGCAATATTTTTGTTAAAAAAAATAAATATAAAAATAAGCATTGTTTTCTATGTATCTGCAAAAAAAAAAAGTTATATTCCTGTAACATAACTCTTCAATTTCCCTAAAATTATATTATTGACATAATACAACTCCGGCGAACAACTTTGTTAGCAGTGACGGAACCAGAATTTAATTTTAGTCGGGGCCAATAAATTTGACACATCAAAATATTTATCATAATTACACATACCTTTTATTTTTTTAATAATATAATATATTTTATAATATATATTATTTTTAAAAAAAACATATTCTGATATCATAATTTGTAACATTAATTTTCAAAATAATAGGATTAATGTTATTTTAACAAATAATAAATATTTATTTAAAATTTAAAATATAATATAAAATTCAATTTGTAAAGAAAGTACAAATTATATGTATATATACATATATGAAATTTTAATGTCATTTTTATGAGCATTTTCATGTGATCTTTATGAACATTATTTCATGTGATGTTATAGAAAATTTATTTCATGTGATGTTAAAGAAAATTTATTTCATGTGATCTTTCGGAATAATTTTTTTTATCTTTTAGATTTCAATTTGATTTAAGCTTATAAACTTTAGGAGGTGGATTAAATTATAATTTTAAAAGACTTTGTTTGAGATAAAAAATCTTATAAATTTTAATAGAATTTATAAGATTTGAAAGAACAATATGAATTTATACGATTTTAAAAAACCATATAAATTTTTAACAAACATTCAAAATTACAAGAGTCAATAAAAATAATAATAAAGAAATGCAATGATATTAATAAAAAATTAAAACCTAATATAATTTTTTCAATCAGTAAAACTTAATATCATTTTTTTTTTTTTGATAACAAACTTAATATCATTTTTAACAAACATTCAAAATTACTAAGTATCATCTCTTCACATATCTAAAGCTATACTAGTCCTTCACACATCAGCATCTTCTTATTCCTACTCTTGGGTTTGACCAATGAGTTAAAAATTATCTTCTTCATTAACTGGTGATACTGAAGATGAAGATGCATATACTGATTCAATTGAAAATTTATCTGAACGACATTTTTTGCGAAGAAAGTTATGTAGTGCTACACATGCTAACACAAGCTATGCTTGTGTTTTAAATGGAAATGGAGGTTCTGACTTAAAAATTGTGAATCGTGATTTAAATATGCCAAATACCTCTCAGTTACATTTCTCAATGATGCATGATGAAGATTGAACACAAAGAATATTAGGATTATTAGGATTTTTAATAGAGCTTGCCACCGGATTATTAAGATTTTTAAATATGTATCATTGCCAAACACGAAGAATATTAGGATTTTATACTCATTATAATCCAAACGATATACAAAAGAAGAAGGTCAACAAAGAATGTATGTGGTAAGCTTATTAGTTCAATTTTAGAGATTAGATACATGTTTATCGTCAACTCTATACAACTATTGGTAAAAAAAAATGAAGCACATCATTAATCATGAACGAGGAATACCAAAACCTGGTAAATACATACAACGAACACAATCATTAATCATGAAGGAGGAATACCCAAATCTGAGAAAATATATGAGTCAAAAAAGAACATACCTTGGCTTTGAGAAAATGCTAGAGTAGATTGTGAGACACTACAGTAGAGAAATCTCAAGAAATCCTAGGGGTTAGGATGAGATTGTGAGAGAGACATCTTATTTATATTTTTCACTAGCAAAATTGGGACTCATTCTGGAAATAACATGTTACTGTGTCTAGAGCCGGCAAAACGGACTCGGTTCGGCGGGCCAACCTGCCAAACGGGACAGGGTGAGCTGAGTTTTTCAACCCATCTCAAAAGCGAGGCGGGGCAGGCTCATTTTTTGGCGGGTTGATGGTGGACATAGGCGGGCCGAGGTGGGTCAGTATAAAATAGGCTCGGACTGACGGGCCAACCCGCCAAACGGGGCGGGGCGGAGCGGACTGACTCATTTTTTGGCGGGTTGATAGTGGGGCGGACCGCTCACTTTGCCACCTCTGACTGTGTCAGAGAACCCGATAAAAGGTTAAGCAATACATGCTTTCCATGTCTATAAATTGCCTTGCCCATGAAGTATAAAAGAATCATTATTACTTTTGTAGAAACCACGTCAGATGACTCCTGTGTGATTATTGTACCTAGAAACTCATCAATCGTCGCAGGGCCTAAATAGGTCAGCATCATGATTCAGCCCTCGTGTTCACAATCATATACCGCTACTGGAATAGTTTCCTCAACCTTTCAGCGGCCGAAGCTGCCCTTTTGTTGGTTGGCTCAAGTACAAGGGCATAATTAAAATCTGCAAATCAAAATTTTTATGATCCCATGCTTTGGAAAATTCTAAAATCTTCATATGAAAATGAGAACAATAACAACAATAATAAAAGAAGATGAACCCTGTTACTATGTAGCTGTCTAATTTGATCGTAAAACCCCAAATCTCATCACAAATAATTTAAATTATACACTGGGACAGTTCAAACTTCAGTAGAAGGTTAAAACCCAACATTTTGAATTTCCATATCAAATTAAAAGAAGAAATACTTAAAGCACATAAAAACTTAGCACAATTAAAGCACATAGACTAGAAGGTGTGGGAGAAAGATGACAATATGAAACCCAATGTTTGAGACCCAGTCACTTCGAGACATACTTTTATTTCGGAGAATTTTAGAAAAGGACTAAACTGTGCAGGACTTTACCAAAAAGAAAATGTGTGGCGAACCACACTAATGGTTAATAGCTTCTTTTTTGTAATTTATACTACAGATTGGTCCTTTACTTTAATGCCCCCCTTGAATTTTCTTAAAGAAATGATAAGACGCATACAAATGTGAGAAAAATGAAAGATCTTACCATCAATTGCATCCTTGTAGTAGCCTAGCATCTCTCTAGCTGTACCTCGACGAAAATAGGCCTTCACATTCTGAGTAAAGCATAGATAACAAAGGGAGGTTACTATAAAATGCTCATGGCTATCTCATACAAGGAAATATACAATAAGCAGGAATCTGAACAAGTTTGATGGAACTTCATATGAAGTGAACAGATTAAACATTAGTATAATATATCATTTCCCTGCATCTTCCAACGAATATCCATTGGTGAAGAATCACTGTTACTAAATCTCTTTCTTTCTTTCTTATTTTATTACTCCCATAAAGCAAATTAGATAAATTTTATAAATCTAAGGATGTAAACTGTTGCAACCAATTATACAACTCGAAATGTATTTGTCATATATGACAATTTTATTTTAGTACGCTGAAGAATAGTACTTTCATTACAAAGCCTTGATTTTTATCACCGGTGCATATTTCGAACAAAGACAAGCTTCGGTCATAGTCAATAATGAGAAAACCATACGTCACAATGATACCATATACTTCTAAGGACAAAGTTCTTTGAAGACAGAAGTCACCTTTTTGTCAAGGTTAATTGCTTTTGTACAATCTGCCTCAGCTTGGAGGTAACTGGATGAATAGAGAGAAGAACATCAAGATGTTTGCAAGGCACTTATGAAGAGTAAACTAGCAAGAATGAAACACAACCTCCCAAGTTCTAGATAAGCTTGAGCCCTGTTACTGTAGTATGTTGCATTATCGGCACTGAGTTTGATAGCTTCTGTATAAAATCCAATGGCTTTCTGCCACTGCTTATCTTTGTAGGCTTGATTTCCCTGAATCATTAAGTCAAAAACCAAAAAAAATAAAAATTAAGGAGAAGAACACACAAGCGAGAATTAGTGATCAAAATTATCAGATGCAGCTTAATAAAAATGCACAGAACAGCTTGTGAAAACCATATTAAAGGTTCAATAGTTAAACAAAAAACAAAACATTAAACCGTATGCAAGATGGAAGTGGTGGTAGATACTTCCTCATGGAATCAAGGCTTCCAAAAGAATGTCAAATTACCAATCTGAAAAGGAACTACATAGAAAATATAAAATAGTTATATGATAGTTGCAACTTTTCGAAGAACAGTTTACCTAAGGTTGATACATCTATACAATTCCACCTCTGTTAGAATAGATAGTTAAACCTCAAACGAAAGCACAATATACGGGGCTGTAAAGGCTAAAATTATATCGGCCCCCCCAAAAAATTGTGTCAAATCTATGCTTGACATTGATGAACCAATGAAAGTTTACTTTTCAGTTTGACATAGTTCTGGCATACAGTATCATCATGAAGACACAATATATAATGTTAACCCAGATAAAAGGTTTTCCTACAGGAAAAAGCTAAAAGAACCAACATTTGAATTCATGAGTCACTTGCAATGCAACTGTCTCCACGCATGAGAGGGAGGAGAGAAGGGATAATACCAAATGAATGTTGTAAAAATCCATATATATGAAACACACATCCACCACAAAGATAGGAAAAACCAACAGGATACCTAAACCCAACAGACAGGCTGAGAAGTTCACGGACTATAAATGGAAGATAATTTGTGGTCTATAACTGCCCAGTATTTAACATGACTGGTGATTTAGAAGTAAAAACATCCCAGTTAAGTCCTAAACTTTTCTGATGTCATAACAGCAATACCTTCTCTTTGGCAATTTCAGCAGTTTGTTCCTTACTGACAACATTTCTTGATGATTTACTTTTGGCGGCAATATCAGCCTGCTCTTGGAGAGTTGAATACATGGACTTTAGTGTGTCAAGTAAAAAGCGATCACCACCATGCCGAGCTATCAACGACACTGAAACAGGATACTTGTCATAAAATCCTAATGGTATTGTGACCTGAAAGGATAAATCAGGAGAATATGGATGAAAGATGCATAACAACAAACAAAACCTTTCCCCACTAAGTACATAAAGGTATAATTCCGTCACTGATATAAATCAAACAGTCTAAATGCAATAATTATTTAGGAAACAATTTTCTGCTAAAAACAAAATTCTAAATATAGAGATAAAATAGTTGGAAAAAGTATCAGATAACATTATGCAAGTTTCATGAGGGAGAGAATTTTACCTGACAGCAACCCGATACACTAGCAATACTTAGCAGACTAAATGTACGGCTCTGATAATCCTCTGATAGAATCTCCTTCCCACCTAATTTTGGAGGAGGATCAGCTACAGTGGGGATCACCAAAATTCCTTCATCCTTAAAAGCAAAAAATGTATTAAGCTCAGCACAATTATGTTTTCTTTATCAGAATATATGTGTGTGTGTGTGTGTAAAGCAAATTATATAAGGATTAGAATATACATTTACTCCTCAATCTTTTGAAAATAATAACTTTCATCCTTCATAAGGAAGAGTCAGCTGGATGCATTTTAGAGTATATTTTCAGCAACTTGTTTCTAGAAAGGTTTCTGCTCATTCAATATCAATGTTCCCTTCACCATAAGTTTGTTAAAATTCAGCACAGCTTTTAAATCTTGAAAAATCAGACATTAAAATCCTCTCACTATGCACTCCCTTCATCTATGAATACATGCTTCTCTAGTTAAGGTAGAAAGAAAGAAAGAGAAGTTACTGAAACTCCATCAGTTAACAATTTTATTGTACAATCAAACACTGTAAGATGACAAAACTTGAAGTTGAAATTGTTAATTACTGAGGTTTCAATAATGATTTTATTATACTATTAAAACACTGTAAGATAACGAAACTTCAAGATAAAATGCTCTAGACGATGCAAGCCAAATTGGTATGAGAAAGCCTGAAGATTAACTTTAAATCAGAAAAATTTACGAGAAGTAGAAGGCATATTGCATGGTGGTGTAAAATTATTACCTTCAAAAGCAAATTTACAGCAGCGTGGATCTCACTTCTAACAGATTTAGAGTTTTCAATCTCTACATCAGAGACCTCGAACTTTTCATACAATTGTGCCGAGATAGCTGGATGAAGATCAGGTTTTACTATGTTCAACCACTCATTGTGCATGAGTCTGAATTCATGTCTGTACAAATAGATGGAGAAAATAGTCACACTATATTATTGAAGACTTCCACAGACAGTCATAATACACAACAAATACAAATAATGTGCACCCACAATGAGGAGCATTAATTGGAAAGAGAAATTATGACATCTTAGCTGTAATTAGATAGAACATTAATTGCAAAAATGCTGAATGTAAAACAGCTCCAAAAAGGACCAAATGACCGGTTGAAAAGCACCCCATTCTTGCCCATCTAGTGTTTACCATAAAATTACAGATTATAATATTATTTCCATATCACAAAGAATCTGACTAACCTTTGTAGAAATTTCATAATGTTGGCAAGTAATTTTAATGAAGAAGCTTTCAGTTCACCATTTGTTTTCTGACTGGAGTACTCCTTCAAGCTAGGAACTTCAGAACTTATATAGTCCTCGAGATTTATATGCTTCAATACTTGCCCTAAAGACAATTGATGTTGAGCAAAGTTTAATGAAGTTCAATTTCAAGAACATAGTTGGTTTAAAAAAATACGGAGAGACAAAATGAGGACTGAAACGATAGGGATTATATTGAATTGCAAAGCACAGAGTAAAAGAACATACTCCCAAAAAGCTTTTCAGTGGCTTTGATCACCACCTGAGAACTCCTGTCAACAGGAACATTTATATGTTGAAAACAATCGTCGGCTATAATTATTTGCCGAGGATTGCGTTGCATTACAAATGGTGCTTTTAAGAGTATATGGCCAACACGACACAAAATATTAGGATCCTTTGCAAACCAACCTGCAAAAAGCATTTCAGAGTTGAAAAGAAATCTAAAAATACAACATATGGCATACTAATAGCATCCATATACAAAATCCAAGACAGTGCCAGCAACTATATAAATAAAGTATATACAACAATTATAACAGAACATTGTTTTCTACCATGCTGTGTGTTTGGATTAACTTCTTTTGTGTTTAAAATAGCTTATAAGGCGGGGAAAGCTTTATGGAAAAATCCCTAAAAATTAAGCAAATCCGTATGTGCATTAGATCTTTATACACAAATATATTAAGCATTCAAAATAAATAAATAAATCAGCCACTCAAAAGCACAAGCCCATAAATCGAACCAGCATAAATAATTGAATCATTCATACCAACAGTGTCCAGACTTGTTGAAATAGGTATGATTCCCATATGCGAAACAGCACCAAATGAAGGTCGAAATCCTAGAATACCACAAAATCCAGCAGGTACTCTCACTCCTCCACTAGTATCAATACCTGTTATATTCCATGGTGCAATAGTATCAGAAATATATTCACATATAAGCATAGGGTGATATTAAATAAAAAATTACAAATACCTTTCTGTGTTATGGTCCGAGTTAATTTAAACTGCAAATGGAGATCATGCTTATACTTGATTCTAAAGACAATTTGAGAAACAGAGGCATGAGCCAAGAAGAAAACCAGATAACACTCTTGGTGGCAACAAGCTTACCTCAAAAGAACAAAAAATGCCTATTCCTCCCAACCAACCATCCATTAGATCTTTCACTAATCAAATTCAGGGTGCCAAAACTTCAAATAGATAGCTTTCTATAGCTATGATCCTATGTGATGTAAATTATATGACAAGTTGACAACTAGGATCATCATCCATTGGATTGCCCATGAGCAAAAACTGCCAAGAGTGTAGTTGGCATTTTTTCAATTAGTATAGACTGATTTATGCAACGACTCAACAAATTCCAGTATCTGGGTATATAAAGAAAACAGACTTGATAAAAAAAAAAAAAATTCCTTGGGGAGGGGTTGGGGGTAAAAGAAAAATGGAACCACCTCTGGGGTAAACACCTACATTACATCATGAATTAGTAACCCTGTAACATCCCAGGAGGAAAATTTTATTAAAGACCTTCCAGCTATTTAGTTACTTTGTTCCAGCAAAAGACCTTCCAGCCAATGAAAGAAGACACACAACATATTAAATGATGTATAAAATTGTCCATAAACCTTCTTTAATGTTATTGATAAGCTGAAGAGAACTTTTCCATGTGTCTTTATAAAACAAAGAAGGAAGATCATCAGCTATTAAAATAAAAAGATATCAAGAAGCTCACCCAACGAGAAACTAATGAAATTAGCAGCAACAGCAACAGCAGCACCACTAGAGGAGCCTCCCGGTACTCGAGCAGGCACAGCAGGATTGGTTGGTGTTCCATAATGCTTATTTTCGCCACTGATACTGAAAATAAAGAATTTAGAAAACAAACTAATTTTTTCCCCCAAATCCAAAAACCCAGAAGATCAAACAGTGGGAAGAAATGAAAGTCACACTAAATCCACACCATATCCTTTACAATCCTTATTACTACGTCATATGGTAGAAAAACTTAGCAAGGTTATATATAAATGGTGTACTCCCTTGGGGGAAGACCTCCGTAATCAAATTACTAGACAGATTATTGACATTTAGATATAATGTTTTGTCAAGCAGCATCAGCATGGCCACGTGTTTTATCTTTTTAAACATGGCTATTGATTGAAAAACTCAAAAAGGCAGTTAACACTAGTTTTAGTACGCACGCAGTAAAGAAAATTTTTAGAGAAAAAATGGTACGAACCCAAATGCTAGGTCGTCGACAACAGTAGTTCCAACACAGGTTGCACCTCCTTCAACAAGAGCAGTAACTGCAGGAGATGTTGAAGAAGCAGCTTCATGAGTCCTTGCCCATTCGGGATGCCCAAACGTCGACACGTGTCCCTCTATGTCAAACCTGGTAAATAACCATATGATATGATATGACATGACATGACAACAAACAATGAATAATAAATAAATAAATAAATAGGAATAGGAATGATAATAATAATAATAATAATAATAATAAAAGAGAAGAAGAGGAAGAAAGATTAGGTTAAGTTACAGGTCGGAAAGGGCGAAAGTGAGGGCGGTGAGTGGATGAGGAGCTTTGGGAGGAGCAGGCTGTGGAGGAGGAAGCAGCTGAAGCTTCTCAATGAAAGCACCCAATTCTTCTTTCACAGATTGCTTCAGCTTTCTGGTGAGCACGAAAATTCCAGCCAAACCCAAACCCAACAAAACCCATAGATTGGCCGATTGAGACGCCATTGATTCAAGATACTCGCCACCACACAAACCAAAGCAAAGCAAGCAACTAGGCTACTACCAGTCCACCACACTCGCCGCCTCAACTTCCTCTTTTATGTTCCGATGAGTTCTATCTATCTATCTATCTATCCATCGCGGGCGATTAAATAAATATATGCTCTTTGTTTTCTCTTCCTGATTCCTTCCTTATTTTTTTTTTTAAATTATTATATCGTAATAAAACCATATTTCCCTTAGTTAGTTTTTTTTTTTTAATTTGATAAAAAAGTTTATTTATTTTCCTTTATGATTATTCTGTTGTAATATAAAAAATATATATATAGACTTTAATATTTTTACACTAAATATAAATAATTTATTTATATTATCGATGTAGTTTTAGAATAAAAAAATAAAAATATTTTGATTTTTATCTAAAAAAAGTATTATTATTTTGGACTGAATATAAATAAGATAACTTATTTACAGAAAAATAACCCAATTAATGTAACATCAGTTGTGATGTGTGACTACGGACAAGTCCAAATACAAATTCAAGATTACCACGTTACCGATCAACAAAATCAAGATTTTTATTATTTATTGTTTCATGACCTTGCTATTGTATTTTTTTTACTTTTTTTATTATTGAGTTTTTATCAAGTCGAGCCTTGCGGCCCCTTCATTTTACCAAAAGAAAAAAAAAAATCAATACTTTTTGTTTTTTAAAACATTGCCTTTATCATTCTGTCCTATTTCTCAATGTAATATATCTTAATATCATGAAGTACAATTTTTTTTTCAAACTGTCACGGTAGTATAGTCTCACTAAGGTACTAAGTTATTATAGACGGAACACGTGTCAAGTTCCTAGTTGTTGAAAAAGTAACTAAGTACCTCAGCGAATATGGCACAACAGGCCTCTATTGGACCAGTAGGATTGATTGAGTAGATTAATATAATTTAACCATGAAATTGAAAGACTTAGTAGTTTTGTAAGTGAGTAAAAGTTTAAGAAAGTTAAAAGATAGGGGTGTTCATCAACGATCAAACTGATTCAAACCGCGGTGATCGAACCGAAAAATCGATAACCGAATAAATCGAAAACCGAAAAAAAATCACAAAATTTAATTGGATTGGATCAGTTTTTGGATGGGTTGATAAAGACCGATCCAATTCAAACCGCTCCAATATATTAATTTTCCTCACTCTACTTGGACTTTTTTCTGATCATAGCCCAAAAATTTCTAAACCCAAGACCTTTTAACCCATCAACTACACTCAAGAAAAAACTTAATCACATCTCAACAACAAAATTTTATCTGTATAGAGCTTCATATCTCATTGCAAAAAAAAAAAAAACTATATTATCATTTACTAATGCTTTTGTATTTCAAAAATAAAATAAAATTACAAAGCCAATATATACAAAAGATGTTATTTGCACAATAATCATGAAACAAATTTTAGGATTTTCAAAAAGGATAGGATATTGTGACACCCAAGTTATGTTACACCCATGTGACACCCAGTCAATCTCACCGTTAGATCGCTTATGTTGATCCAACGGTTATATTTATTTCCATCTTTGTATGGTCATGATTTCCTAAATTTAAAGTGAAAGCATTAAATATGGGAAATCATAACCATACAAAGGTAGAAATAAATATAAAATATTAAATTTGAGAAATCATGACCATACAAAGATGGAAATAAATATAACCGTTGGATCAACATAAGCGATCTAACGGTGAGATTGACTGGGTGTCACATGGGTGTAACATAACTTGGGTGTCACAATATCCTATCCCTTTCAAAAAATCAAAAATTGATCCAATCCAAACCGAAAAAATTGAATTGGATCGGATCAGATTTGAAAAAAAATTTCAAACCGAATCGATGATTAAATGATTAAACCGAAGGTATTGGATCATATGATTTTTTATTCCAAAACTGATCCAATCCAGACCGCGAACATCCCTATTAAAAGAGAGTAGAAAAAACTTTTCTACCATATTCACGGGTTATATTATAAAGAGAAAATATTAGTGGGATTTTTCCACTTTTATGTGAGTGTGACAGAAAAGTTTTTTATGTAGCAAACAAAAACATTAAACCCATACTTTATTGATTTTAAAATATTAAGGGTCCGTTTGAAGCACTAGGCGTATGCAAAAGAATCAAAAAATTGAACTGAATTATGAACTGAATCGAATTGCACTTAAAATAATGGATTTTTGATAATCAGTTCATGAACCGAACTGGTTTTTAAAGAACCAATTCAAGAACCGAACTGATTTTTAGAAACAAGTAATCGACCAAATTATTTTCGAACCGAACCGAACCGAACCGGTTTCAAATCGAGCCACACAGTTTTATTATTCTATTTCTTTAATTTTTTTTTTGAATAAATTCAATCTGAACCGGTTTCGAACCGAACCGAACCATTTTCAAATCGAACCGTTTAATTTAAAAAAAAATTCAATTTAATTCAACCTATACATGTTAGGAAACACTGATAAGAAAAACATGATAAAATAATTTATTTTATATTTGGTGAAATTATAGGATAGGATATCCTAGTAAGAGCCTTATCCCTGGGGCTTGATTACACTCCAGTAGAATAGGATAGAAAAAAAAAAAAGTTTATTTTACATTCCAATAAAAAAGCATGCAATTATCTGACATCAACTTGTTCCCTTTTCTATTGCAAAGTTTACTTCCATACGTTTGAGGCAGGAAGCGCCGAATACATAGATGGATATAAAAATCTCTTTGCCCATTGTGTCTAATTCCCTAATCCTCCATTTCTCAAATAATCAAACCAAATACAAACAAAAAACAGACTTGAGAGAAAAAGAGACATGATTCTTCAGCATCTCCACCAGTTCCCTCTGCGACTGTGACAGTTTCTCCCTTATCATTGTTCTCTAAAACTGATTCAGGAATATCATTATTTTCAGGTATCATTGCATTACTCTCTGCCTTTTCTTATATGTACGACAACATGCCATCTCAAGATTTGAAACTTGTGATTCAAAATTGAATACCTGCTCGAAAGTTTTAAAATTTCTTTCCCGAAATTATAATCGGTTGTTTTTATATTCACCCATTATGCCTTTTGATTGATTGGTTGTGTTCCTTTGTATAGGAAGTTCCTGGATTCTTGTTGCTTCAAAGCATGCTATTTCAAAACTTTTTTGCAGGGGTAAATGGTTTCACTACCCAGATTTCAATTTTCGTTTTCTTGCTTTTATTTTATTTTTCACCTAAACAGTAGGCAATTTGAATTTTGAGCCTACCCAATAGGTAACTTCTTTTTCCCCATGAAATTTAGAATCGTATGAATTGAATTTCCACGATTTCTGGTTTATGGTGTTGCTGGCCAATTGAATATATTATTGTGTCTGTACTGCATCAGAATGTTAACACTTTCAGTAGTTCACTTGAAGATTGAAGAAGTTCACTTTCAATAAGGCCGTAATGCAAGAGATTAACTGCTTCATGTTAGTTAGGTCTGCTCTTCCTCACCTATAATATGCTTTGGTGTGGGCAGGCCGAACTTAAGCAGCTAGCATATTCTTGGAAATCTTGATTTTTCACCTGCCTGCTTTTCACTGTTCTTTTTAGTATTTTTTTTTTCCTTGCTTGTTTTTCTCTTTTCAAAAGATTCGGAGAAGTGCTCCAGCTCCTCACGCTTGAGGAATGCATGTAACGGTTTATTAAACATTTGTGCTTACGGTCATTGTTATTTCAATCTATTTCAAATTTTGTGTAGGTTTCTATTAAGACTTAATCTGTCTAGTCATAGGAATTCATGCCTTTTCTTGTTAATCAAGTTTTTATTTCATCTGTCAGGATTATAGAGGAGACAAAAAATGGTAGAATCAACACAATATGAAAGATTTTCAAAGGATTTTGTAATGGGAGGAGTAGCAGCAATTATGGCAAAGACTGCAGCGGCACCAATTGAGAGAGTGAAGCTTTTATTGCAAAACCAAGGTGAAATGATTAAAAGAGGACAACTTAAAAAACCATACTCAGGTGTGTGTCATTGCTTTAAGAGGATCTTCATGGAAGAGGGTCTGATTGCCTTTTGGAGAGGTCACCAGGCCAATGTAATACGATATTTCCCCACACAGGTGAGTTATTCACTTCACTGGCATTCTGATTGAAGTTAAAGACCTGTATCCCCACTTCCACCACTTTTTTTCTCCTTCTTTCAAGTTGTCTCATTTGTGAGGTAAATGGACCATTGCCTAGTGTAATTTTGTAGTGTTTTTTGTTTTTGTTTTTTAATACCACTTCCACAAAAAGATAAAAAGAAAGGGAAGAAGAAAAAAAACAAAAGAATGAACATGAGAAGCTGTCAGGGATGCTAAGTGCTATCTGTTAACTTTAATTCCCTTCCACTGTTCCATCCTAGGTTTTTTTTTTCCCTTTAGTCTCAATTAAATTGAAAACGTATACTATCTCAGAGCCTTGACTTATCTCGATTTCTTATCCAAAATCATTTCATTGCATGGTGCAATATGTAATATCCAAGCAATCCCGTTCTTTGATATATGATCATGTCTAGTTTGTTCGTTGTTACCCCTTGAGCTTGCTTTGTACTTTTCCTGTCAATGCATGTCAAATATCATTAGCTGGGTATTGCCACTTATAATGGCCCACTCATATGGAAGGGAAACCATTGGTTTATTTTTACTGCTTTGTATTCCCATCAATTCGCGCGATCATGTGTCTCAAATAATGGTTTTCTTTTTCTTTATGAGAAATAATGTTTGAGCAAACAGTTAATTGGTCTATAGGCTTTCAATTTTGCATTCAAAGGTTACTTCAAAAGCATTTTTGGGTATTCCAAAGAGAGAGACGGGTACATTAAGTGGTTTGCTGGGAATGTGGCTTCAGGCAGTGCTGCTGGAGCAACTACTTCACTGCTTCTGTATCATTTAGATTATGCACGGACACGGTTGGGCACTGATGCATTGGAGTGCCGTGCTACTGGCCAACGCCAGTTTAAAGGTCTAATTGATGTATACCGTAAAACCTTATCAAGTGATGGAATTGCTGGCTTGTACAGGGGATTTGGGGTTTCAATATGGGGAATCACCATGTATCGAGGGATGTACTTTGGGATCTATGACACCATGAAGCCTATTGTTTTAGTGGGGCCTTTTGAGGTAAGTATTTATACTTTTACAAAAGAGCTCTATTGTTCACAGCAAATGGGAAAATATGTAGTTGATACTTGATAGTTTATACTTTTAACTGAGAATTTGCCTTCCATTATTGCTGGACCAGTAGTCTGTTTGGTCTGTTTCAGGGTATGTGGGCCAAATGTTAGTTACCCTAGATTCTGCAAGTTACATTGATGATTGAATAGTTGAGATTGAACATTCAAGACATATGACAAGTCAGTTAATAGTATTTTGCAAAAAGAATATACTGTTATTTTTTGTCATAAACTTTTCGTAGATGCATCTCTTGATGTTATAGCACATAGAGGAATTCAGAGTATTGGTTCTGTTCTTTTATGCCCTTGCATTCCAATGTGGGTCTTTTGATTTATTTTCTGCAGGGGAATTTCTTTGCTAGTTTCTTCTTAGGTTGGAGCATCACAACCTTCTCAGGGGTTTGTGCATACCCTTTTGACACACTGCGTCGCCGAATGATGCTAACCTCTGGACATCCAAACAAGTATGATAATGCAAGGCATGCATTTCGTGAAATTGTTCGAAAAGAGGGTTTCTTAGCTCTATATCGAGGAGTTACAGCAAATATGCTTCTTGGTGTGGCAGGAGCAGGGGTGCTCGCTGGATATGATCAGCTGAACCGCATCTCATCTAGACACAGTCACTATAATGACACAATCCAAAGAGTTTTGAAATGAATGGCTGAAGGTATCTGTTTTAAGACAAACCAAAGAGCCATTGCACAAAAAACAAACTTTTGGACATGATAGCCAAAGGTATCTATTTTAAGAGTTTAAGTTTAAGTTTTTTTTTTTTTTGGAAAATTTATTCAAGACTGCAAATGCAGTTTATCAACATGTCTATTCCTGTGAATGCTGCTGGTATTAGGTTTACAATGTAAAATGTACATGGCCAGACTTCAATTATTTTGTTAACATGATTACACTGATGTTACCTCTAGAATTTGCTCAGAATAGAATATAAGATTGTTCTATTCTTGTACTTCTTTCCGTTTTGATATACTTATTCAACTTCCGAACCTTAATATTTATTATCAGTTAGATAATTATTTTTTGGTATCCTATATGACTTGATATTCACTCTAAGGACTACTTTGATGTGCCACTTGATATTCAAAGCACTGAGCATATTTCTTTTTCCTCCCACTTGCAGGCTTGCACTGTAGCTAGTTTCCAGTATCATGATGACCTAATAGTAGTAGGTCTTTCCCACAAACCTGCAACGCTAAAATATTATAAGATGGTCAAACATATCTCAAATTAGCTTAGGAAATAATATTTTTACGGTAATTCAAGTCCTTTGTCAAAAATATCAAGAAAGGAAACTGTTATTGAAAGGGTACCCTTATATTTAGGTAAACTTAAAACAAGTAGAATAGCAATCACTGCAGCTAACCACAAACTGCACCAGACATTTTAAAAGCCAAAGGACAGAACATTATCGATTAAATACTTCTTGGAACATGCGAAGTATGAGGTTAGTCAGAACCCCTTCAGCTTTCAGCACCCTCAGCTTCTTCTTCTTCTTCTCCTTCTTCATAATCACCATCTTCCTCAGCCGAGGCATCCTGGTATTGTTGATACTCAGCAACAAGGTCATTCATATTACTCTCTACTTCAGTAAATTCCATCTCATCCATTCCTTCTCCTGTATACCAGTGCAAGCAGGCTTTCCTTCTGAACATGGCTCAACAACCGTGTCTGACACCTTTGGAGATGGAAAGACAGAGAATGTAAGCATCATTCGATCTGGGTATTCCTCTCTGATCTTTGAAATCAGTAGAGTTCCCATTCCAGAACCTGTTCCCCCTTCCAGGGAGTGGCACACTTGAAATCCTAAATATGAAACCAAAATCAGTCTTTTTGCTGGAAATTAAGTTATTATTTCATGAGCCACAAAATTTTCAAGTAATTAATCTCTTCTATCAAAGTAACAGATTCTTAGGTGTTCAAACATGTTCAGTTCAAGCAATGTGATTAATCATCAAGTGATAGGGAATCAAAATTAATAAACCCAAAAACGAATTTAATTTTAATGAAACAGTGTCCCATGATGTTTGGTTTCTTACCTTGCAAGCAGTCACAATTCTCAATCTCTTTCCTGACAACATCAAGGACAGAGTCAATAAGCTTAGCACCCTCCGTGTAATGGCCCTTGGCGAAATTGTTTCCGGCACCGGACTGCCCGAAAACGAAGTTGTCCGGCCGGAAAATCTGGCCATAAGGGCCGGTCCGGATAGAGTCCATGGTGCCAGGCTCAAGGTCCATCAGCACGTGGCACGTAACGTCCATTCTTAGCCTCATTGAGATAAACGTTCACTCTTTCAAATTGAAGTTCTGATTCTCCAACGTACTTCCCTATGGGGTCAATACCATGCTCATCACACACCACTTCCCAGAACTTT